GAGGCGTGCCACAACAATATGATTCTTTGGCAGTACAGCTGGATATCTAAAAGAGTGCCTATCTTCTCTTTCGCTTATCATCGTTTTTATTCTGATAATTCCAAATTCATCTTTAAAGTGTATCAAATTCTTCAAGTATTCTTCATTATTTCCAAAAGTTTCTTGCTGGATCAACTTAATCACTACTTTTTCTGATTCCAACAATTCTTTTAATGATAGGAAGCTGTGTAAATTCCGCAATTCTCGTTGAAATTTACAATTTAAAATAAATCTTCTTATCCAAGCAACCATTCTCAAAATATCTTCATAACGCGTAAAATAATGAGCCAACCAACCATTGTCAATTTTATTATGAATAATTAATGATGTAACTCCTTTTTGTTTCTCTTCTAAAATAGTTTGTTCGTCTATAACGTAAGTTTGATTGGGCCATTTCTCTGTGGGTTCTAGTAACCATATGGGGCCATTCCACCATTTACTTTCCAGTAGTTTCTTGAGTAAGCTACCTCTGGAAGGTAGATCTGCCGGATTCATAGATCCTGGAACGTGATACCAGAATTCTTCTTTGGTTAGTTTGTGTATTTCTGATATACGATTTCTCACAAAGGGCTTCCAAGTTTCATTTCGTTTAATCCAACTTAAAACTGTAGAAGAGTCGGTCCAGCAATAAACAGGGACATCATCATCAAATTCTTTCCTTACAGACATCAACATTCTGGCTCCTATTGTGGCAGCTAAGAGTTCTAAACGTGGGATTGATATCGTCTTAATTGGGGATACTCTATTTTTAGCTTGGATGAGCTTGATGTGTGTTGAATTCATGGATTCAGTTCGAATAAAAATTACCGCAGCATAGGCTTCTTGGCTGGCATCACAAAATAAATGCAAACTCTCTTGTTCGCACTCTTCTTTGACATTTGGACGAATCCATCGGGGTATTTTTATATTGGCTAAAAGTTGGACATCTTTAAGCCAATCGAAAAATCTATTTTTAATATCATTTGGGACTTCAGAATTCCATGATAACTTAAGTTTACATGATTTTTGCAACAGTACTTTCGGAATCAATAAAGCTGGGCAAACAAATCCGATTATATCAAAAATTCTGCTTACTGTTGAAAGTATCATTTTCTTCGTAAGTTTTTCTGTAACTGAGCTGGTTTTCAAACCTTCTAATGAAACTTCAAGAGTATCTTCGAACTTGTTCCATTTCAAACCGAGTACTGATGTCAAGGCTGCTTTTTCTGTGGAGTTTTCTTCTTCGGTAAATTCCCAACATCTTAAATCCATCTGTGCTTCCATAAAAGCATTTTGAGCATCCGTTTTGAATTTTACTATTTCTTCTCGATGGTCAAAGCTGACTATACTATTGTCAACATAAAAACTCTTACTAAGATTGGTGAGAAAGGGATGTGTGTACCCTGGATTTTCGATTAGTACGTTTTTAAGATGATGTTGAATGACTGCTCCAAGTAAAAATGGGCTACAAGTCAGGCCAAAAACAACCCTGGTGTGTCTGTAAATTTTCAATTCACCGTCAATAGTATACCATAGGAATCTTAGAAAGTCTCTATCACGCTGCCTTAAACTAATTTGAAGGAATGCTTTTTTAATGTCTGAGATTACTCCATATCTATGTTGTCTAAAACGAATTAAAATGGATGGTATCAATTCGATAAAGTTCATTCCTTTCTCCAGACATTGATTTAAAGATGGACTTTGGGCATTTTCTCTAGCTGAAGCATCGAAAACTGGCCTCAATTTTGTAGTGGCACTACTTAGTTTTATAACATGACGATGAGGTAGGTAGTGTCCTCTAAGTTGGTAGTCTTCTTTAGAAACCTCTTCTATAATCCCTTCCTCTAGCCATTCTAGAAAGACTCGATTATATTCTTCACGATAACCATCTTTGTCCAACTTTTTTATTAATGAATCTAATCTTTTTTTGGCAATGTGAAGATTAGTGGGTAGGGAAGGGTGGTTTTCTTTCCACGGGAGACTTACTTCATATCTGGAATCAGTTGATCTTTTCACAGTAATAATAAAATGTTCCATTGCTGCCTTCTCGGCTTCAACTCTGGTAAATTCTTTCACTGGATCATTTATACCAAGAAGTTCAAGATTCCAAAAATCAGTCATCTTTTGGTCATTTACTAACATAGTGGTGATAAGTATACAACTTGATCTTAGAGTAGTAGCATGAATCGGTGATTTGCCCATAATGACCCATCCCAGTTTTGTCTCCATAAGAATTAGTCCACAGGATAAAACATATTGTTTTCCAGTATATAGTTCTGCAGCTATGTCTGCCCCAAGTAAGAGCTCTATTGGACCATCTTCAGTATCATTTATAGTTAAACCTAAGTTTTCCATTTCTTGTAACCAGGGACCATCGTAAACGCAAATAATGTTTCCGCAAATGACAGGTTGATCGAAAGTTTCAAATGAGCAAGAATACTGATTGTCTAAACTGGATAAATGTGTCTCATAGCAAGTATGGTTTATACTTTCAGTATGGTAACCACCAAAGAGAGCATGTATCATCTCTTCTTGTCTTAAAACTTCTAACCGCATATCAACTGCTGTTTTTCTTAAAATATAGGATTTCTGAGACCCAGTGTCGATAAGTGCTCGAACTCTTTTAGATTGATATTGGTGTACTATGTTAACAGCTAAAACTTGCAAAAATACATGGTTATAGGTCTGGTTTGTCAATCCAGTTGTGGGTGCTGGCTTAAATTCTGTTTTTGAAGATGGATTTTTAATTTGTGTTATTTGACTAGAATTAAAATTCTTGTCTTCTTCACTTGTGCACATTAAAGGTACATGTTTACCACCGCACTTCTCACACTTGAGTCTTGAGTACATGGTGCATTTCTTTGCCAAATGTCCGTGCCTCAAACATCGATAGCAACAGCCATTTTCAAGTAATTTCTTTTTCTTTTCTGGAAATGTCAATTTTAGAGCTTCTTCACATCTGGCACTAATGTGTTGTTGTTTGCAAAAACTGCATCTCGGATTCTGATTAAATAAACCTATAGCGGAAGAAATGCTAGGCCTATTTTCCTCTTTCTTTTTTTGTTTTGTCTCGAAGCTTGCAGCTAATGAGATTCTCTCTTCATTTTCGACCTCGCGCTTTAAAAATATCATTAGGTTGTCTAACCTTTTCTTTAACGGGTCAGCAGTAGAAAATGTTGAGCTTCGTTGCCAAGTTCTTAAAACATCTTCTGGCAAACTTGATTCTAGTAAAGGATAGAGCATCGCTGAACACGTATCTGTTGTTACCCCAAGTGTGTCCAGTGCCCTTAATTGAGTTTCCATTTTATCGTAGATTGAAGCCAAATTGGTTTTGTTGGTCAAATTATTCAAAACAAGTTTAAGAAGCTCTCTAACATAAAATTCAATCAACAAATCGTCTCTACCGAATCTGGATTTTAAACTATCGATTGCCTTTTTGTAGTTTTCGCCAGTTGGTGGATAACTCTCTATAAGCTGTCTGGCTTTGGAATTGGTAGCCTGCAACAAATATTGAAATTTGTCGTCGTCTTCCATCTCATCATCTTCGTGGATACGCTTAAATAAACTCCAGAATTGTATCCAATCTTTAATATCGCCACCAAACTTTTTAAAATCTATTTTTGGGAGATTTAGTTTTGGTCGACTTAAAGAAGCAGTGCTGGCTTTTCCAAGTGTAGGTTCAGTTAAAATCTTATTAATATCAAAAGCTAGCGCGCTGAACCTTATCGTTGCTTCATGAGAATTTCTCATCACCTTTGCGATATCTTCTTCGGGTTTTCCATCATTTAGCATCTTGCATATCATTTTATTAGATTCTTCCTCGAATTCATCATTTAATTTTTCCAACAGCTTAAACGTACCTTGCAGCTTTGCTATATCTGGGTTCGTGTGCTTTAGAGAAGCTTCTAAATCATCACAGTACGTATCGAAAGAGCTTTTAAGGAGTTTTAGAACCAAGGTCTCATGTGACGTCATCCTTTTGTAAATTCTTCAGCAGTATCTCGCCGGGGCCTCCAAATGTTGCTTTCTTTAGTATAACCTACTAAAGTAAAGATCTAATGGTCGAGAAACTGCTTCAAAATGTTTTATTGAAGATATATTACAAAATATATTTAACTTTGACAAAGGTATCATAAAAATTAATCTTGACGTTCTTTTCAAAAATTACGGTAACTATTATAAAATAATTAAATCAAAATATCAAAGAATACCGCTTCATAGGCGTATCAATTTAAAAATGTGCAGGAAACCTCTTCAAGATGGCCAAAGGCGCTACTGTTCCAAAAAATGATGGTCGTGGAAAGCATCAAAACCGAGCAAATAAAATCAGCGCTGTCACGACAATGTTATTTTGCATATTAACTCCATTCCTAAATACACCAGTCATTACAGTAGACAAAAAAATCCAAACAAAATTTACATAGATCACGATATATCCATTACTGGGATTTACCAACATTATTATTTGGATTGGTGCAAGAGTAAAGGTTTAAAACCTGTGAAACAAAGCTATTATAGTAAGGTTTTTGCACCAAATTTAACATAGGTTTCAAACTGTCTAAAACCGACACGTGTCAAACATGCGACTTTTTGAATGTCCAAATCCAAAGTGCTGTTGATAAAGGAAAGCCAGCTGATTCACTGATTCACTGTTGGGTTCTATAATAGTAGACGCACGTGTTGTGTTATTGTCCTCCAAAATTCAGTATTTAGTGCGTTAAAATTATAAACTTAAGTGTCAAAGTGTGCAGTGGTATCAAAGGGTAACTATTACATACATTGTTGATCAAACCAAGACAATATAAACCTTAGAAACGTGAGAAACTGCAAAATTTGTTTTAAATTATTAAATTTGCTGTTATCAATAGAGACGACAATCGTATATTTTGAACCTTATCAGAAATATACTTAATTAATTCCACCACAGTGTGTATTGATATTTTTAATTTTTGACCAGTATCTGGCACCCTGATTACTCAAGCATGAGTGCACATGAAATTGAAGTCTCACAGTTGCCTGAAGAACAACGCTTACTTTTTAAATTGATAAATAGAGTCAGTCAACAACAAACTGAATCCATAAAAAATGAAATTCATAATTGCGTGAAGTCACTGAACATAAAGATTGATAATGTCAACAAAGAGATAGATGATATTAAGAAACGCTGTTCTGAAGTGGAACGTAAACTTAAGAAAAATAATATAGTTATTTTTGGAATCCTATTACGAAAAAATGAAAACTTGTTAAATAAAACTCTAAAAGTACTCAATGATAATTTTCAAGTTAATATTGAAGAGCACGATGTAAATAATATTTTTAAATTGGGCAAAGAAGACAAATCACCGATTTTACTTGAATTTACATCTTTTATAAAGAAATTAGAGTTATTTAAGAACAAGGAGAAGTTAAAGAAGTTTAATGAAAATGGTTTTGGCATACCAAATGATTTAAATAAGGAGGATAGAGAAGAATTGAAAATTTTGAGAATACATTTAAAAGATGCAAGATCACAAAACTTGGAAGCTAAAATCAAGGGATTTCATTTACATGTAAACAATGAAACCTTCAGTGCTGAACAGCTAAAAGACCTTGAATCTGAAGAAGAAGCCGGTACTAGTGACAGTGAAAATAATTATTCGGAGAAGAGTGTGGACAACTCTGTGAAGAAACCAAATTCCAGTAACCTAAATTCAACCGTGGTGGAAAGAACCGAAGTAAAATCCACAAGAAGAAGAAGAAGCAAGTTTTTTCGCTACAGCCCGATAAGCTTAAGAAGTAGTAAAATTTAATTTTTAATTTTAATATAAATATAGGATTATTTCTTTGCAAAACCATTTTTAGTATCAATACAATCTATAGTAAAATAAATTTAGTAATAATGTATATTTCTATAGGTCATCTTAATGTAGGTTCTATAACATCAAAATTGAATGAATTGAAACAAATAATATTAGCAAAGCCCTATAGTATTTTTGGAGTTACTGAAACTTGGCTAAAGCCAGAAATTGATGATAATTTATTAAATATTTATGGCTACAACCATGTTAGAACAGATAGACTTCATAAGCGTGGCGGTGGTATACTTATGTATATAAAACATAATTTAGACTTTAATATATTAATAAATGAAAATTTGCATTATATAGAGCAACTTTGGATTAAGGTTACCATAAATAAAATGAGTTATGCTATTGGTGTAATATACAGAGCCCCTAAATCTGACACTAAATTATTTTTAAATAAATTCGAAAATACTCTAGTGAATATACCTACATAATATGATAAACTAATATGTACTGGTAATTTCAATATCAATCTTTTTGATTTAAATTCAAATCTGACCACTGAACTTTTATCTGTAACTGAATCCTTCGATTTAAAACAAAATATTTCCGAACCAACACATATTTCAAGTGATTCAATGACACTAATTGATCACATATATACTAATTTTGAGGTAAGTGAATCTGGCGTTAAGGATACAAATTTAGTACGACATTTTTTGGTGCATTGCTGCTTCGACATAAATACAGATCAAAATAGAATAATTAAATGTTCTTCTCGGAACCTCTACAACATTAACATTGATCAATTTCAAGTAGATTTGGAAAGCATAGAGTGGAATTTGTTTTACAATACTAATAATATTGATGAAAAACTAAATATTTTTAAGTCTAATATTCTAAACATTGTTGACAAACATGCGCCTATAAACACAAAAATTATTAATACTTGTAAACGAAAAAATCCTCCCTGGATCACATATAATATAAAAATAATGCAAAAGCTAAGAGACGTGGCTCTAAAAAAATTCAGAAAATCAAAACTCGCAGCTCACTGGGACTATTACAAAGAATTAAGAAATTTCACATCAGCTGCAATCAAAAGAGAGAAAAAAGCATTCCTGGAATATAAATTTAATAATTCAAGTATGAAACAAAAATGGCAACAGTTAAAAAAATTAGACATTAACATTAAAATCAATAGGGAGTTACCACCTGCTTTAAGGAAAGCTGAAGAAATTAATTCTTTTTTTTATTACTCAATCAATAAATAATACAACGCCAGACCAGAATATTGTTGAATTTTATAACCATCACATAAAAGAAACAGTGAATACGGCGCTTACTTTCAGTAATACTTCTGAAGTAGAAATTCTTGAAATTGTAAAAAACATTAAATCTAAAGCATATGGTAGTGATGGCTTAAATATTCAAATTATTCTTCTGTGTTGTCCATTTATAGTACCTTACATTACACATTTAATAAATCAATGTATCTCAAAACAATATTTTCCTGTGGAATGGAAAAAAGCTTTTGTAGTGCCCATATCCAAAATTTCACGCCCCTCTGAGTTTGCCCACTTAAGAGGTATAAGCATTTTGCCTGTATTATCAAAAATACTTGAGAAAATTATAGAATGGCAAATAAGAACACATATAGTTAACAATAAATTATTACCTAATCATCAGTCTGGCTTCAGACGTGGCTTCAGTTGCTCGACAGCCCTGGCTACAATAACTGATGACATGTTTTCTGCTCTAGATAAAAATGAGTTAAGTATTTTAATTTTGATCGACTACTCCAGAGCGTTTGATATGTTAAACCATCAACTTCTGTTATCTATACTCCATTACCTCGGATTTAGTACATCTGCTTGTTCTTTCTTGTCCTCTTACTTAAATAATCGAAGTCAGTGTGTTAAATTAGAAGAAGACATTTCAAAATCAATAAATATTGAACAAGGAGTTCCTCAGGGAAGTATACTTGGCCCCTTGTTATATACAGTATACACGTCCAACTTTCCAACTGTTTTAAAATATTGTAAATACCATATGTATGCTGATGATACGCAATTATATCTTAATTTTAAATTAGAAAACCTTTTAGAAGCTAATAACCAAATCAATCAAGATCTAGAATCAGTAATTTCCTTCTCTACTAGTCACCTCCTCTCTATTAATACAAGTAAATCATGTGCAATGGTGTTTGGTAGTGAACTTCAAAAATCGACAGCAATCAATCAACTTAATATTGTTCTTGGTCCCGATATATTAACTTTTAGTGATAATTGTAAAAATTTAGGTTTAATCATTGATTCTAAAATTAGGTTTAAAAATCATGTGACTGAAAAACTTAGAAGAGCGTATTCCGCACTGAAGTTGATATATCAACATAGGACTAGTTTAAATTATGAAATAAAAAAAACATTATGTGACTCATTAATTCTATCTCACTTTAATCATTGTGATGTTGTATATTCTGCCTGCATTGATAGTAGTGATATCAGAAGAATACAAAAAGTGCAAAATTCCTGCCTTCGCATGATATTCGGTATTAAGAGACCTCAAAGGATATCATATAAGTTAAAAGATATTGGCTGGTTAAGCATGTATAATAGGAGAATCTTGCATTCTTTATCTTTTTATTACAAAATTCTAAAGCACAAAATTCCTGAATATCTTTATGAAAAGATCACCTTTAGAACAGAGGTCCATAATTTTCAACTAAGAACCAATAATATAATAACTATTCCTAGACATAACAAACAAATATTTAAACGCTCATTTTCCTATCAAATTGCGCATTTTGGTTACATGTTCGACCAACACGAAATATCTCAATCTCTAAATTCATTTAGAAAAAAACATAAAAAACGTCTGTTCGCTAAACAGCAATAACTAAAATACTAAACAGTCAAATGTACCACGTTAAATGATAATTAATGATGTAATAGAACCTACAATTGTGAATTGTGAATTTTACAATTTTGAACTCTGAATCTGTGATTTCTTCATTTAGTACTTTTTAAAACAATTAGAATATATATATTTTTTTTGTTATTTACGTATTTGTTATAAGGGTGGTAAAACTTAAATATCTTTTTCCTTTTTTTTTAAGGTTATTGTGGCAGAATCGGTCCATGACCTAACTTTAACCTTTTATTTACCATACGTTTTTATATCTCTAGGCAATATTTTTAGAGTTACTACTTTGTATATCTTTGTTTTATATGGTAAATAATAAATTATTATTATTATTATTATTATTATTATTATTATTATTATTATTATTATTAATTATTATTATTATTATTATTATTATTATTATTATTATTATTATTATTATTATTATTATTATTATTATTATTATTATTATTATTATTATTATTATTATTATTATTATTATTATTATTATTATTATTAATTATTATTATTATTATTATTATTATTATTATTATTATTATTATTATTATTATTATTATTATTATTATTATTATTATTATTATTATTATTATTATTATTATTATTATTATTATTATTATTATTATTATTATTATTATTATTATTATTATTATTATTATTATTATTATTATTATTATTATTATTATTATTATTATTATTATTATTATTATTATTATTATTATTATTATTATTATTATTATTATTATTATTATTATTATTATTATTATTATTATTATTATTATTATTACTTCGAAAACACAACTTAAGCTGCATCAACGTAGAGCTGCGGCCTTACAACAAAGCCTGAAAAACGAAATTGAAAGTGTGAAACGGAACAAAGATACATTTATTGTAAGCTTCAATTTGCAACAAGCATTGTCTGTTCCGAATTTATCAGTTGGTCCTGCTTTCTATTTGAGAAAAGCATGGATATAAAAACTGGGTGTACATGACAGCGTGGAAGATGTAGGATACATGTACATGTGTCCCTAAAACTTGGCAAAACGTAGCAGCGACGAGATCAGCAGCATTCTTTATAAACATTTTAAGAAGAACCCCAAAAAGTATATAAAACTAATAGCATATATCGACAACTGCGCCGGCCAGAATAGAAACTGGACAACTGTATGTTTGTGGCAGCAACGAAAATATTTTTCATTCTGGTAGAAAAGTATTAACAAGTTTATGTTCCCGAGGACTGGTATAGAGCCGCTGAAAAAGCTAGAAGGGTTAACCTCTTTAAAGTTATCGTCCTGGAACAGCGCGACATACTAATGTTTAAAGACAACAACAAAAAATAGTCAAAAAATCTTTAACTGACGAGAAAGAGAAGCTAAATTTTAGTAAATTATGTGCAAATAGGTTTGAGCAAAATACTCCGAATGTAATATTTGTGAAGCAATATTGAAATGAAGATGTTAAATCGGTCAATATTGGTAAGAGAGGCGTAATAATATCGGCCAACCTTACACTGCGCGATTTAAAACTAAGTATAATGGCCCAGTTCCACTTAATTGAAAAAAGATAGCCAACCTGTCAGAGCTCTTAAAATACAAACCACCTATTTATCATGATTACTATAGAGCAATTAGTGTGACTGAAGCTGATGGTGCTGTAGCTGAAGCTGATGTAAATATCACCGCGGCCATAGGTGACGAGACTGAGCATTTTGACGACTTTAGCGACATAGACTCAGATTAACGAACTGGTTTTTTTATTTTTGTAAATTTTGATTTATAATATACATTTTGTTTAGCACTACAAGACTCTTATTATTTACAAGAAATATTTTTGCTGTAAAATTTGGATAATTAAACTTTAATGTAAAAACGGTACAAGCCACTTTTTTAACATTTATTAACAAAAAATTAAATATTATTTTAAATTCTTAGCATTGTGATTTTCTAAAAGCCAGTTCTAGGAATACAAATTAGCAAACTTTGATGGATTTTTTAATATTTAATTATTTCGGGATTTGCTTATAAACTTTAAAAATTAATTTTCTCGAAAATACGTCTAAGTGGCATGTACCGTTATTGCTCTTA